AGGCGGTTTGGCCAGAATTGCTGAGGACACCTGTCTTCTAAGACTTAATGAAATAATCAGCCAGGAAGAAAAACTGAAGTGTAACATCGCAAGTTATCTGAACCTTAGTGTCCTGCCTCACATAATAAGAATGAGATTTGCAGTTCCTGGATCTGTGGAAGGTGCCCGAGGCCTCCTGGATAAGGCTATGAATCCCGACTCTGCTCTTTGTGTGGGAAGTTTGCATGTCCCCCCTATATTGTGTGGGTTTCCTCCTACAGTCCAAAGATAGTTCAGTTAGGTAGACTGACACCTCTAATTCATCCATCATGTATGATGGTGTGTGTTATGGGTATGTGATTAGAAGATGGATGGATGGAGCTGGATACTTTTCTTTATTCTGTGGTCACGTGGCAGCAACAACAGATGCATGAACATGTTTTGGACCATGTTTTGTTTGAAAGTGGGTGGAAATTGTAAGTCAAGCAAGGTCAGTGCAAAACGACTGTGTAAAAATATGCTGTGTTTCATGCAGAAATTAACCCAGGAGAGCAGTACTTTAGACAAAGTGTGCACCAGGATGTAAAGTCAGCTAATTAGATTTGTTGCATAATGAGTGCAGCTTCTTCATAAAACGAATAGTCCAGACTTGTCCTTTATTTAAGGTATGTGCAGAACGAGGGAGTGTTTTGCATATGAAAAATGTTGGTGTTTATGGGACAAAGGCAAAGTGGTCATTTACTGTGTCCGCAATTATAAATAAGTGCACCAGCTATTCTCCTGTGTGAGGTATTTTTAAAATAAAACAATCTTATATAAAGAAAGTCCTATAACTATCTGTTAGAACAAAACAGCAAATTAATGTTGCATTTAAAATTCTAGGTAATGCTGTTATTTAGGATAGCAATACACTGAGTGTCTGTCAGACTGGGTAAGCAAATAAGATTACTTTGTGAATTATCGCAAAAAAAATCTGCTAAAGGCTTACTGCTATACTTTACGTAACATTTTAGTGTCTTTAATCAAACTGACTTCCAACTAGGCTCTGTCTGCTTGTTTTTAAATCAGTGCTTTCAGATAAAACTGTTAGACCTTGTGTTTTGTATACTTGAATCATATGGCTCAATGTGTAGGACAGTTACCTCGCATTTCCATATCTGAGTTTACTGTGGTCTGTATGTCCTGTGATGGACTGGCATCTTGTCCAAAATGACCCCCAGCCCTCTGCTGGCCTCTAGGCACCACTGCTGCGAGTCTTTCCTCCATAACAGGATAGAAGTTGGATCGGTCATGTCTGTCCTAAGTAACTTTTTACTTGAGGCTGAAGAGAATTGCCCTCACATTACAACTTCTTGATGCTCTTTGCTGAACTTTCCCTAAAGCAGCAATATCCTTTAAAGAGTCCCTGCCCACTTCATAATCATTTCCAGACATTTTAGGTAGAGATGCACCGATTCTATTGGCCAACTATCGGTATCAACCTATACAGCAACAATCGGCCATATCTAAAAATGAACCGAATTTAACGCCAATAATTCCTTTTAAAATAGTGACTCGTTGCTTTACACACCCTCATATTAAATAGTTAGAACAATTTCTACTGTCTGGGATTATTTTAACGTTAGCAACAATATGTTAGAAATGTATTTTGCAAACATTGATCTTCTAAAACTTCACATCAGTTCAACAGAACAAATTTGATTGCTCAAATCTTAAGGCCAGACAGTGAAGAGTGTCTGAAAAACTATTCCATTCCAATAAAGAAGGGTGCAGTACTGCCGAATAACGCTACTCAATGAGTAACGCAAGCATTGGGCAACAAAAGAAAATTCAGCTGTCAGTGCAAAATCAAAATATATTACTTATCACTCTGTGATAAATGTTATAAATGCATAAGATGTATATACTGTAGTTCTAAAATATAGTGCTCTGGAACTGTTGTTGTATGCCATAGTTGGTGTTTTCTTACCAAAAATAAATACTCTTTCATAATTATTTCCTTATCGGTGCATCACTAATTTTTAGATGTGTGGTTTCTCTGTGTTCTGCTTGTCACTGTCTCTGTATAAATTATGTGGGTAAAACTGAGAATCAGACTGAGGACAGACCCTTGTCATGCCATTCTGCCTGCCTGGCGTCCACTGGGATTTGTGCCTCAATTGTCTTTGAGGTGAAAGACAAATATTTTTCCAAAATCTGATTTAATATTAGTTTTAATATTAGTAATTTAGTGGTTCTTTGTAATTCCTTAACTGTCTTGTTTCTATATACTATGTAGTATATACTATATTTTTATTGCTTTTTAATAACCTTTGTTTCAAAACAAGATTGAACATAAAAATGTTGCATGTTGTATGCATGTATTAATTAGAATCCCCCATAACAATAAATGGTACATTTGCGACCCCTTTGGTAGTTCCATGTCTTGATTTTAACATTTCTCACTGGCACGGGTACTGGGGCGCTAGTCCCAGCTGTACTCTCAGCTGGGCTATGCAGCATTAGTGAGGGAGTCAGCTGTTATGCTTGCCTTGCTTACACAATGCTGCATGCCACCGGAATTTTTGTGCCTTCCCATATGCTCAGTGTAACGTGACTGGAATTTACTGCGAGGCCTTTAAAAGAAACCAGTTTAGTTGCCAGTGCTCTTGGCCACCACGAGGCACTTCAGATAATGAAAACGAGAACATGACCGGTAACAGTGGTTAAAATGTGGTTAAGGGGGCAGCGGCGACACAGAAAAGAGCTGCACTGAGAGCGTCACAGATCCACCAAAGAGCCGTGAAGAGAAGCGGTCATTCGCCAGCTGCTCAGTCACTGTGTAGATTCAGAATTTATCGCCATATGCTTAGTAAGCAGTCAATTATAATGCAATGAAAATCTTACTCTGCATATCTTTCTGGTGAATACAAATGAAACACCACACAAATATAAATCAAGGTGCTTCAATGAAACAATAAATACGAGTGCAGTTATGACAATAAATATAAAAACAATAATAAGTACATGTAGAGATGGCCGATTGTTTTAATGCCGTAAAAATACCTTACTGATATACGTAAACAGGAATTTGAATTGTTGTTAGAGGACGCTTTGCCTTCCTCTTCACCTTCTGGGTTGCAGGGTCGACTCTGGCCTCAGCTTCTTGCATATTCAGCATATTGCATTCAATGGATTTGCACTGTGGAGCCAGGTTGTCCCCCTATAGCGCAGACAAACAGCTGAGATGAAGTGGTGAGATTGACCCGCTTTCCGAGGCATGTGCATCCCCTGAGTTTCTCTTAAACTCAACTTGGTGTCCATTTGTCCTACGATGGACTGACATCATGTCCACTGCCTGCCCTCTGCTAGACTCTGGGCACTCCTCCTGTGAGACTGTCCAGGATCAGAGGATGGAAGATCATATCTCGCAACTTTTATTTGAAGCTAGAGAGAACTGGCACCACTTAACAACTTCTTCACGCACTTTTTGCTGAACTAAGGGTTTCCAATAGTTTGATGATTGCGGACTGGCCTACATTGTGCAAAAATTTCATGTACTGGTAAAGCTTGTCGAACGGGGTTGGGGATAGGGCAGGTTAACTGGGGCAGGATTTATTGGCGAGCCAGAAGATTACCCTTGCTTGAAAATATATGGTTTGTTGATGGAAGTTAACCAGCCCCTCTCTCAAACCCCCAGCATTCCTTGGGCCGATTGGGAATGCCTTCCTTAAACCATCAATATCCTTTAAGGAATACCTGCCCACTCCATTAACCTATCCAAACCTGTTTAGATGTGTAATTTTAGTGTGTTCCACATGTCATTGTCTCTGTTATTTCTGTGATAAAAATCAGAATCGGACTGAGGACAGAATCCTGCGGCATCCTGTTACCCACCCAGGATCCACTGGGATTTGATATGCAGATATACAGTGGAGATGAAGTAGTGATACTGGCCCGCTTTCCTGGGTGTGCATGCTTCTCTCCTGTCCTCTTTAGATAAGTACTTACTGCCAGAGGACAAACTTGGCTTTTAGTTTGACTGGGGGTGGTAATGACAATTTCAAAGCTTCTGTTTCTTTAGCTTTGGTTACTGGCTTACCCAGAAAACAACTTCCCCATTCACGGCTCTCTACACTATCTTAGTGAATATAATTCCCTTTATCTTGTTTTTCCAGATCCTTCTTTCAGAGCGGTGTACAAATACGGGAGTGTATGTAACAACGATGATGATTACAGATGAGTAACTGGTTGCGTTAAATGTGGCCGCAGCACTGCTTTCTAATGTGTATGGATTACTGTAACATGATTTAATCTAAATATCATAAGCATATATGCACAACTGTGCATAGACGAGCTATGCAATGGTATTTGACTATTTGCACTCAGGTCAGGTCAGGTCTGGTTTTTGTTTCCTTTCCAGGACATATGTGGGTCTTATAGTAATATCTAAAATCCTGAGGTTGAAAAAAATGGCAAAGTTGAATGAAATTGCATGAGGGTTTCTCCATCATGCTTTTGCTGGAATGAAAGCTGGATTGGTTTTCATGTTATGCATCACACATCCCATGCTAAAACAGGAAGTGTCATGGGGGTGGAAGTGTTACTTTCTCAAATACGAAAATGACACAAGAATAAGGTTTTATGCCCTGTAGTACAGTGGTCTAATGTTGTACAGTACCTCCTCTGAACTGGATTAGGCCTACATATTGTAAGCTGAATCAGCAGTCAGGGGCTACAACTTTTAATTCCATTGTGGTGTATTTTCTCAGATTTTTTTTCCAGCATTTATATTTGGTCTTTTGATCTTTTTGTCTTGCCCAAATTTATGTATCTTTTGAATACTTCTGTTGTATTTGGAATAAAAGGTTCCTCCCGTATCTCTAAGACCCATAATCCTGGCCTTCATACCCAGTTGATTTTAGGCTCTCTCTATCTCACTTTCTTAGGTGGGGTTTTTATGTGCCCTGGGGGTACACAGTCTGATGTCCTTTGTAGTTTCTGGGGATGTTAAGTCTCCGCTCTTCTTTGCCCACTCACAGGGGAGCCACGTCGGTTGTCTTTCGATGTAGACAGAAGGGAACTCAGAAGCCCTATGCTGTAAAAATGTTGAAGAAAACGGTAAGTTGCTTTGACGTGCACCACAACCTTCCAACGTGCATCATAGCTGTCCAATGTGCACCACAGCCTTCCAACGTGCACCACAGTCTTCAAACATGTACCACAGCCTTCGAACATGCACCACATCCTTCCAACGTGCACTACAGCCGTCCAATGTGCACAACAGTCTTTCAGCGTGCACCACAGCCTTCGAACATGCAGCATAGCCTTCCAACATGCACCACAGCCATCCTACACTCACTACAGCTTTCCAATATGCAAGATGAGCTTTCAGCGTGCACTATGGCCCGCACCAGGCCTTCCAGCAGATGTTGCACCACGGTTCTTGGGGAATGTTGCCACTCTATACTTGTATATGGATGGTATGCAGTGTTTCTCCTAGGTTTACAGCTTTGTGGGGTGGGGCAGACGGACACTGACAGGATTCATGGCGTTCATGTGTTTCTTTTAATGACAGCAGTCAAAAAAACATAGATATTTTTGTCTGCTTTTCAGGTAGTTCACACAACATATTTTCCAACGCGCTGTCTGTCCACTGGTGGGAGTGTGCTCACCTGTGTGTGCGTGTGCACGTGTGCACATGTCTGTGCGCGCATCGGGGCGGAACTCCGGCATGTGCAATACAGAGAGCAGAGGAGAATTGTAAATGCGCAACCGTGTAGAGACAAAAATGACAAGCTGTTGTGTAAATAAGATAAATAACATAAGGCTATTTAGTTTGTGTAATAAAAGGACAATGTATAGACCTGTTCTACAGGAAAGGTAACCTTAAATTACTTCTGTTGTGACCTGGCGCTATATAGAAAATAAAATTAAATAAAATTAACTTGACTTTCAAGGGGGGGTGGGAGGTGCCATTGGGGGGGGCGAGGTGCCCCCCTAATATAATGGTAGAGGAAACACTAGTATGACAGTAAAGCCAACTTGGCTTGATTCAACTTGGCTTAACTTGACTTGACTTTACATGACTTGACTCAATTTGACTTGACTCTGCTCGACTGACTTGATTCGCCTTGATATCCTCTTTTGCATAGGCTGGCACAGGCAGGTCCTGCTGTCCGAAGTCAGCAGGACGCCATTCTCCTGGCGCGTGGGAACACCGACAGGGAGCGCCGTCACGCACGGCTGCCTGTCCCATGCTGCTGCTAATTATCTAACAATTAGGCAGCGATTAGATACCATACTGTATTTTTAGGTTGGCTGTATCAACTATATTCAAAAACTGAATTCATACTTAAATTTGTCAAAATAAATTTATGATCTATGAAATATGGCCCTTTTAAGCGTCAGTGTATTTTATCATCATGCATATGTAGCACTATCCGCGGGCTTCTTGGAGACCATGTTGCCAGATAAATGCAACACAAAATACAAAATGCAAAGCAGTAAGTACAACAGCCAATTACAAAGAGCAACACAAAATAATACCAGCATATACAGACAGAGTGTGTACGTATTCAAGAAAAGGCAGAGTCAGAGGCAAGATTTGGGGAATGAAGTAACATGGTGGATTTGGCGTGCAGATAGCATTGGTTCCTGTATGATGTGTGGTAATGGTCCTGTAATGTCTGCCAGAAGGGGGGAGAGAGAAAATAGCCTGTACTGGGTGACTGGCATCTTTTATGAGGTGGTTTGCATTTCTATGGGATATTCTGAGCTGGTAGTAATCTCAGTGGTCTTCACCCTCTGCTGTTGTATCGGTCATGTGACATTATATACGCTGTCATGTGACTGTGCATGTGGCTGCCCATGTGGATGTTTTGGTTTCTTAGTTTTCTCTCTCTTCCTCCTACAATGATGTCATCTTCGCTCCAGATTTCTAGCCACCAGAGGTGAGAGTCCGACTCCTTTCAGTTTGGAATTTTTGACCAGAGGGGCGTCGGTGCTGCTGAGTCCTTCTTTATACCCACTTTAGGTTCTACTGAGGCCCGAGAAAACTGCCCGGCAATGAAGGTGAGGCGTGTAATTAAACGCCGAGGATTTGCAAAGAGCCATGTGGCATGTGTCTGGCACCTGTGGGGGTGGGGCAACAGCTTCCGGAGCGCTCCGGAATAGCTGGTGCCGCGACCTTTCCGTCTGGCCTTTCCCGATGCCATGTCTTGTTTAGCGGCTACGTATTTATGGAAAAGGCCCAGCCCCAGATGCCCCTCCCTCGCGGCACCTGTGAAACGTCTGGCGGCAAGCACTGCCTCTTTTGGCTTGGTTCTGCAACTTGTGGTTTAAATGTCGACGTGTCCCTGTGAGGCGTCGGCAGGAGCGGGGGGGAGTGGGGGTTCCCTTTTTTTCTGGAAAGATCATGGTGAGGATCGTGGGTCACTTTGCTCATCTTTGCCACACTGAAGCCATTTCCAGGTACCAGCAGGGCCTGCAGGTTAGACTGGGGAGGTGATGGTGCCCTCCCCTACTGCCATGTCCCTCTGTACCTGTGCTTGTAATCCCCCCCCAAATCACACACCACGCCTGGCTTTTCAGGGTACATATCAGCTTATAATGCTTTGTGTTTATTTACGCACATGGCCATGAATCACCAGACGCCTAATTTCGGGTTTATTCCTGAACAAAAGCACGGCGTCTCATTACCCCACTGTTAATACCTGAGCTTTCTGGCTGTAGGTCCCCAGCCAGATGGGCCTTTAATGATATTTAAAGTCAGGCGCTATAATTATCAGAAGATCCCACGTGTTAATTGATCTGAAGCGAGACAGAGCCACGGCCAGTCCGGAGCTTGCTGGAGTATCGGGTGCGGTGTGGCACGGTGACTCACTCGTGTCACTGCTCCCAGAGAGCACACAATGAACTGATCCCCATACACCAATGGCCCATTTCTGCCTGGAAATGTTTTAATTTGGCTTTAAGCAGCTTATGCACTTTGCTCTGCCTATTGCATTGTTCCCTTAAAAACGCTGGTGTTATTAGCAGCCCTGCGACGGACTGGCATCCCGTTCAGGGTGTTTCCCTTCCGTGTGGTGCCTGGGATGGTGTCCAGACACCCCCACAGCTACGTGCGGGAGAAGACAGGCGGATGGATGGATGGATGGATTAATTTCATCATCATCATTATTTTATTAGTAATAGTAGTAGTATTGTCTTGTTAGTTTTTTGTGAGGTCATCAAAGTTCACTTATTTAAAAAAAGATCAGATTTTGCATTAATTAAATTGGATGCTGTAAAGTACCTCCACACCAGCCCAGAGTTTATGATGTTATGTGCTAAATAAAAGGCAAAGAAGTAAACCTGTTAACAGCACGTTAGGGATCCCAAAAGAGGCCCTGTGCTTTGCAGCGTAAGTGTGTAACATGTATGAGGCAATCAAGTGTCAATCAGTGATGCTGAGGCACTTTGGGCATGGCTGGTGACACTAGGCCACAACTGGGACACAGGGGACAGGGCACATCTCTCACAGCCCCCAGGGGAACACTCCCGGCCCCAGAGATGCTCTGTTCAATGTACCTGAGCTATGCTTGGTGGAGCAGTGCTAGAAACAATTCATGACTGGAGAAATCCCAGGCTGCGAGTCTGCAGTGCTGCGTAATGGTGGAATCGCAAAAACAAGAAACAGGCTCTGATAGAGGTAGGATTAAAGCCAATATTCGTAGATTATCATCACAAGCTCTTCTTGATGCATATTCTACTGCAAACTTTAGCATGGTAAGAGGAGTGTGTGTGTGTGTCTGTGTGTGCGTGCGTGCTTGTGTTTGTGTGTGTAGATTAGTTTTATATTACTTTGTGGGGACCAAATGTTGACAAGGGAGTAGAGTTGTCAAAGAAATCAATACTCCATACTAATCAATACAAAAAAATTACTGTCGGATTACGTACTCATTTGCAACAGTATCGATACCGACGGCACCATCTTCGCCCCCCTCCAGTTCACTAACAGCTGAATACATGAACGCAGGCTGATGTTAACACTAAGCTGACTGGCAAGCTCTGATGCTGAACGGACTTAATAACCAGTTTCAGTCGAGAATGAAAAAAGCAAAAGTGCCCATTGGAAGTATTTTACATACGAGGCAAACGACCAGGGAAGGGCTAACTATTACCAAATTGGCCAAGAGCCACTTTAATCATCTGTTAATTAAGTTATCATTAAGGTATTGACTTTGGCTGACAATAAAATGATAAAGTTAACTTGGGAGCTAGTCAGCAAACGTTGCCAGTCCTGCCCATCTGTATCATTAATAAGTAGTGCCAATTTAACAGAATAACACAATTATTTCTTATTTTTCTATTCTAAGTCCCAGATTGAAGCTAAGAAAAGTTGATCAGCAACTAGACAGAAACAGTCCTGAAAGTGGTATCGAGTATCGAATACTTTCCTGGGTATCAGTATCAAGTTTGAAATTGTAGTATTGTGACAACCCTATAGGGGACATGTTTGTGTTGGGGCAGTATGTGGCTCTGCAGGTTAGGCTGCTATGTCTGTGATCAGAAGGTCACTGGTTCACAGCCCAGAATAATGTCACCGTTACCCCAGTTGTCCTGGGACTGTCTAATGCTGCTTTCTGAAAAATGTATATCGCTTTGAATAAAAGCATCTGCTGTTTGGTGGTAGGTATCAGGAAAAACTCATCTAAGGATCTGGGACCACGTGGCTCTTCAAACCCCCCCCAGACATGATGTAGTTTTACCATGAACAATGAACACTGTTGACTCAGTACACATTTAATTGAAAATGGAGAAGGATCGCTCCCAGGATGGATTTTAAAAATGAAAGTGCTGGGAAAAATTTAGTGCTGTTTCTGCTGAGCTTTTGTGTTTCCAGGTTCAAGCCAAAAAACAACAGGCAGGGGATTCTGATCATTTCACATCAAGTCCCTCTGCACTGCTGTTTACTACGCACTTTATCAAAGGGAGAGTGCTGGTGTTGCGCATGTGTTGATGAAATACATTACAGTATGACTGTCAAACAAAATGTGAGCAAAATAAAAATACACACTCCCAGGCAAGGCTGCGTGCACTTTGCTGGAAACCTTAATTTTTGTAGTGTTTCACATCAAATTCTTCCTTGTAAATATTTGAAAATGAAAAAGCTTATTACAGTGTACAAAATGTGAGCAGTACTAATACATTTATTGAACTGAACCATTGAAAATTGCCTGTTACTATGGTTTTTAAGGTGTACTCAAACTTTGTAATTTGACAGAAAATTTACAATGCACAGATATAAGTGCATATAAGAATAAAACAAGACACCCAGTTAACGTGAATCTTGTTTTGCAGGTCGATAAGAAGATCGTGAGGACGGAAATCGGTGTTTTGCTTCGGCTCTCACATCCAAACATTGTAAGGATTCATACTCCTGAGCTAACCCGTATGTTAGTATTTTAGATTTATAGTTAATATTCTAACACCGTCTTAATATACCACTTAGGCTTATTAAATAAATAAATGTATTGTTCTGTAAGTCTACAGGCTGCTTTTATTTCTGTTACTTGTGGATGCAAATTTCTAACCAAAGCATATAAAATGGACTAATAAATTAAGCCTTATTCTGGTCTTAAAAGGGTGTGAATTTAAGCAAAGGCCACCTAGAAATTTAGTGCATAAATAATAGAGTAAATAATAAAGTTAATGGATTCTGATAGGCTGACATTATATTGAATGGACATTAGACAGAAAAATGTATTTTGCTATATTTGTTATTAAAATAACTGTTCAGTAATACACTGCTGGGTAACTGTGGCCACTGTTTAAGCAATATAGCCCTAATATGTGCATCTCAGATGTGGACAAAGATAGGATTGTATGGGATATTTTCCCCATTCTTTGTGCTGAACCGGTCCACTGATGACATCACAATGTGAATTCTGAGTTAAGGTAGCAGGATCAGTCAGACTCATAAGGAATATTCCAGTAAGTATTTTACAGAGTTACAGAGATATGAGGTCGTATTGCATCATGAACGGAGAACCGTTCCAAAGTAAAATTTCTAGTCATAAATGAGACTATTCTTTTTCAGCCGTATTTGAAGTTGATGGAAATTGAGATTTATGCATTCTGCCAAACTGCATTGCTTTGTGTCATGCCATCGATACATTTAATTCCTGGGTGTGTCAGTATGCTCTGATTTGGAGAGCGTCAACATTCCTGTATTGCAATTTCTCCAGTAAGAGAGATGTGTGGTGTGGTCCCTTTGCACTTTGAAATCCTCAGACACTTTCGAACTGTGAATCCTGGGTGTTGTGGAGAGGTAAAATGCAGTTCAGGAGGTGTGTGAAACTGACAGCTACGCTCCACGAAGCAGGGAATCACAAACGAAAGCGCCGGCTTATTGCTGTCTAGGGCGGCGTGTTATTGTGACAGTGCTGGTAATCTGGACGCCAGCTGAAAATACAGTCCATTCCTGGCGTGAGTGCTGTTTGCTTCTCTCGCAGATTAAATTGAAAGAGATATTCGAGACCCCGGCCGAGATCAGTCTGGTTCTGGAGCTGGTCACTGGGGGAGAGCTGTTTGACAGGTAAGTTCTCAGATTTCATTATGGACACATTCCTCGGGAGTCTGGATTCAAATTCAATTCAGACTGTGCCTTATTCTGGAGTGATGCATTTTATATAGTATCACCTTACACTGGGACAGTGTGTGTGACATGTAAAGTGTATTTAATATAGATAGTTTACATGAAGGCTCATATTCAGGTGTAGATGCTAAGGCTGCTCATATGAGTGTAATGAAATAGTGGAGCAGTACACTACACAGCTGTCAAACATGACAAGCTTGTTCAGAGTGAGATCAGAATAGCAATGATAATATTGCTCTGACTTTCATCCTGAGCATGGGTTTTCAGTCCTTCGTCTTTCGCGTCTTGATATTTGTGGGTTAAAGTGCTTCTTGTGGTACATCAGAGAATGAGACCTGGCATCTCTGTGATGATCATGTTGAAAGACAGCTTAGCAGGCTGCTGTTGCCGATTCAGTGTTGGCAGTGTTGGGGGGGTGGGTGGACTGATCTTCCTGGATGTCTTGATGCAGTGCAGATCAATGATGGAGTCGGCTTTCCGTCATGCTTGAAGTAGTGGTAGAGTGAACGTTTGACTGCTGTGCACTGGGGAGACTTTGGGTGACCTTGTAAAACCAAAGGATACAAGTCGATTCAGAGCAAGACACAGTAATGGGCATTGTGTTTTAACTGAGCAGTATTAAAAACTTACTTGGTCTGCAAGTGTCCTTTAAACTGTTGGTCTGTGATGGTATATATAAGAGTCTATCTGTATTCCCTGAGTGTTGGAAGAGCTGTAGATGATCACCTTGTACTTCTCTGTGGAATCTCCCCTGGGTAACCGCAGTGACGGTGCTCCAGAAGGTTTACTCTGCGCTCATTTTATACGATTCTGTGTTATGAGCCTTATCCAGTTCCAGACAGGACCTTTCACTTTAAACAGAGATGACTAATATGCTATTAAAATTGCCCACACCTGACAGGTTGTCACACACATGTATATGCGATATAAGCAAAAGAATGTTCAGTATAGCATCAAATACACCATAACCTAGTTAATGAAAGTAAACATTTAGAATTTCAAATAGGTATGCAACCTGTAATAAAAGTTGAAAGTATATTTTTTAAGCAAAATGTAAAATGGCTAATAATTACTCATAAGTGAAGGATTGTTTCAAAGTGATCACAGGAGAGACGCTTTGAACATGGGGCTGATGTCAGCACACGTGCGCTGTGTTTTCTGTAGGATCGTCGAGAAGGGGTATTACAGTGAGCGGGACGCCGCCGATGCTGTCAAACAGATCCTGGAGGCTGTCGCGGTGAGTCCACGCTTTTTTTAAATCAACTTAAACCGCACTTACTCTGATTTTCTGACAGACATTCAAAAATGCTTGTCTTCGTCACATTGTGAATTAAGTAATGCTGGTACCACAGGTTTCAGGCTAGCATCTGATATTTAAAACAATATTAAAATTAAATGTCACTTGTAATTTGGAATTTTTCTCAGCACTTAGGACGTATGAACATGTCCAGATATTGCTGAGACTGAAAACAAATAAGTTATTGCATCTTTCTATTTGTGTAAAATTCACAAGTTAAATGAATGTCTCCTGCATGAGCAAAAGCCCAGCCTATCAGAAAACACTAATAGTCTGTGGCATGAAATCTTATTCTGCAATGCACTTCTCCAAAAGATGGCGAATTATTACACCCTGGCAAAAAATCACCTTCAGAGGCCAGACCCTAGTCTTCCTTGTCTGAAAAGCCATTATGCTCAATGGCTTACCGTAATGGCAGAGACTGATGAATCAATGAGTCTGAAATAGTACACGAAAACCTATGTGCTACCCCATCAACTATTAATAATGCATTGGCCGAGCCTTCTAATATAAATGACTTTTAGGCTTTCTAAAGAGGGTGAGGGGCTGAAAATAGGCCTCATATAAATAGGTCTTGCATTTGCTTACAGGTTTTTACCTGGTTACTTACCTTATGAGTGGTCAGGGACTCAATGTTCACTTTACCATGTTCGCGACCTCATTCATTTTTGGATTTACATCTGAGAAAAACTTGTTTCATGCTGAAAAATCCAATAGGCTGCATTGAGCATATCCCATATGTTTCAACCGAATGTTACTGAAGTTTTTTTTGTCAAATTCCCAAAATAAATTTCTAACTTTCCAAGTTGTTTATGAAGGGCTAATTCGAGGCTTAATTCCACAGGGCAAACTTTGTTCCCTGTCCCTTCCGCGTTCCCGCCGATCACACACTGCTTATCAGACCGCATCCCTTTTCACAGGACAGGACAGGACACTGAACTCCTTAATCTGGCATTTCTTTGTGTTGGATAAAGGAAAGCACGCTTGAAACCTGCAAGAGCATCAATCTCCGCTAAAGAATGCGTATTCACACCTCGCTGTTGCAGTGTGCAGTTGAATTGCATGGATTCCATGAATACATAAGTGGTTCACAAATCTGAATATTCTGTATAACCATTTAGGAGGATTTTTAGGACGACTAATTTAAGTCTCTAGTAAGCTCCAGGTTTATGAGACTACCGTAAAATATAATGCACTTGATGTAGCTTCATCCTGCACGTGGGGACCTATCACTTTCAACTCAAAGTCACAGCTAGGGAACGGAATGGTGTGTGACTGCACACCAGATGTTATATAACAGCAAACCAGCAATCTGCAGTTAATAATGTATGCTGAGAGTGTACGGGAGACAGTGATATACAATGACTCGGAGGTTTACACATTATTAAAAATGTTGACCTTACAAATATAAGGGAAAGACAGAAAGTATGTTCATGAGTTTTGCTCGTTCATTTTCATTTCTTGTATTGTATTTCCTGGCCAAGATGTGGTGTTTCATCTTCACAACATTACTGTGGACAACTCCCACCTGCAGTGTGTTCCTCTTAAATGATGCAGCATGATTCCAGTAAAAATCATAATGGATCGACCACGACGATGCATGTTTTGGGATCATGAAACCAGTGTGCTTCAGTGCCTTGCGATACCCAAGAACCTCATTGATGAATAATGACTGCGAAAGAGCAGTAATGGTCAATGAAATCAATTTAAAAGGCAGTTTCATTTTCTTTTCATGTCATCCTGATGTTCAAAAAGTGAATCCTTCCATCCATTCATCTATCCATCAATACACACATAACCGCTTATTCAGTTTTAACTAGTCTGGAGCCTCACCCAGGAAGATGGGGGTTGTGGCACCCAAGTCACCTGGGCTGGGATGTAGACTGGATCTAGGCTAAATAAATTGGGTATTTATAGTAATACATGCAATATGTCTAGAAGCATTTGAATACGGTGTTTGTAATTTTTGTTACTTGCACTGTCTCATGTACTTGTTGAAAAAAATGACACATTTTCATGTGGAGACAGATGATGAGACGTCACATCAGAACAGTCATATACAGCTGGTTATAATGCTGATTCTCATAATTGATAAGTTAATGATTTTACCAATAGGAGTATTATTTGCTGGTCCTGGTCGGCCCTTGGCTCATTCCCAGCGGTTATTTTACCGTCTCTTCATAGCGACAAGGAGGATTAATCAAGAACAGGTTGACCGCCCTGTTTTGACGTAAACCTCACGATATGAGAAGGGGAAGACTGATTCATGGAGAACTGGGAACACCTTCATACTGGGAACAGAGGAATGCTAGCCAGTTGCGGGGTGCAGAGATTCACCATCGATTCCGTTTCCAACCAGATGTATCAGGATGGATTTAGAAGAGAGATCAAAGCTTCAGCAGTATAATGAGAAGGAGCCAAGGTTATTTGTGTCAGATATGAAGTGGCTTGCTGATTCTGTAGTGAGTTTTAAATGGGCAGGCTTGTGTGTGTGTGAGAGACAGTGGCTGTGTTCCTTCCTAGGTCCATTTTCTCTGTCCTAATGAGATAGAGATGAAGATGGCGTACCTACGTCCTATATTGCTTTGAGTCTGTCGTATTGATCAGCCACTCGCCCCCCACACTTGGACAGAGGCTTCATCACTGCTTTGCATCTTGCTAGCTGCCGCTATCAGAATCCTGATCCTGCAATCCAGGATTCTGCGCTTTGCCTTGGATGCGGCCTCCCTTTCCCCTCGACCTGGCTTACGGAAGCAACACAGGCATGGAGACAAGATGATGCGATGGATCGACGCTGAGGGCAGCGGCCTGTGGGGGCGGAGAATTTGGACCCCACAGGGCACCAAGGAACAAAGGAAAAGAGGATTTCTGAAGTGTCTCGAACGCAGCCTTTGAAGTCGTCGGCATAGTCGACGTCGCCTTTGTTCAGCGTTGAATCGCCGGGATTGAGATTAACTTCAATTCTGGAGCTGACAGTCTCTGTCTTTAAATCATGGCCATCTGGACTGCTTTCATCCTTGTGGATGCCTCAGACTCTGTTGGTAATACCGTTAGCCGTTCCGGCTGGGCACGTCAAGGCTCATGATTAAGAGTACCCTGCAAAAATGCCAAATAAAGAGTATAAAAAATGTTTGGATGTAAAACCATGATCGCGCACATGGATGCTGAAAATCAATCCACAGTTTATCCTGCATAGTGATAATGCAACTGATCTCTGGATGTATATTCATCAGTTTAACAAAATCAACTGGAGATCATATGTAGATACAGGTCAGTAGAGATACAAAGAGTTTACTGTTTTGCATATGGTTCTTTTAATAGTGCACGCACTTCAGCTATAATGTGAGACATTAAGATGCCTTTGATGTCAGACGCTAGGGCAGAATAATAGCTGTTAGTCCCACAGCTTTGCTCTAACCCAGGGTTGTTGTCTCAGAGATTGATGGCTGTGAGCGAATTGGACGCTCATGCGACAAATAAATGGACTCATAAGGGCAACATAAAAACAAAATAAAAGGCGGCCTTGCTTTGCTGCTTTTGTGCAATGGATGTTTACAAACGTTTATCATTATGTAAAAATATTCATCACTTTGATCATTTGATTGTAGCATCCCTTGCATATGCGGTAACGCATGATAATTGGGGCTTTGTCCTGGTCACAATGGGCAGTTGGATGATTTTTTAAACTAGGGAGCGTGCTGATTCTGAGCACAGCCTTCCACCTCAGGGGTTACGGGTTCCGTCCTTTGCATGCAGTGCAAATGTGTGCCACTCCTGTGTGCATTTAGGTGGGTTTCCCATGGCTTAGGAGTGGCCTGACCCCTCTCTGGGGTGTCCCCCGTCTCGCGTCCTGTGTCCCACAAGTGAGATTCCAGGCTCACCTGCATAAATTAGCAATTAATTAGCAATTGGTTTGGACTGATAAATTACTAAATCAGTTTGATATGGATGGGTTTAGAGATGCTTTATGACCAATTTTGAACCTCTTTAAACCTTTTTCCACCAAGGCTCTTTTTCATAGCATTTTAATGGCCTTTCATTTGGATCCAATTAGGATGAAATAGCTTATTATTGAAATTGTTGAAATTAAATGTTGTAGTTAAATGTTTATAGTTAAATACACTATATAAATTTACTGGGCTTGGAGTACGGCGTCATAGTGAGTTAGTTAATTATGGGGCCGGCTCAGTGTTGCGTTTGCAAGATGTTTGCCCTTCTGGACGTTAGTGTCCAGTCGGACTTCATCTGCGAGCGATGTAAGCTAGTGGACTCACTCATGGTCAAGGTTCGCGACCAGCTGGGGTGGATCCAGTTGTCGTGGTGCATGTTGGCACCAACGACATAGGCAAGGGTAGAAGGGCTGTT